GATTATGAGACGTGACTATGGAACCATTGTCCAACTCTCCTACAAATAGAGATGGTCCTGTGCCAAGATCAGAGCCCTTATAAGGTGGTGCCACTTCTACCTCAAGCTGCTCACAGCCGGGGCGGACACCCTACTTGGGACCTTTCCCCACCCGCCTATGAAGGCATAGACCAACTCTGCTAGCGGTGATATCGTACTATGGACCTTTCCCCGCACGATTATGGTGTAGTAGACCAACTAAGCTAGCGGTGGTATCGTACTATGGACCTTTCCCCGCACGATTATGGTGTAGTAGACCAACTATGCTAGCGGTGGTATCGCACTTGGGACCTTTCCCCGCACGATTATGGTGTAGTAGACCAACTATGCTAGCGGTGGTATCGTACTTGGGACCTTTCCCCGCCCGATTATGGTGGCGTAGACCAAGTATGCTAGCGGTGGTATCATACTATGGACTTTTCCCCGTCCGCCTATGGTGGCGTAGACCAACTCTGCTAGCTTTGGTATCATACTTGGGACCTTTCCCCGCCCGCCTACGCCTATGGAGGCATAGACCAACTCTGCTAGCGGTGCTATCATACTATGGACCTTTCCCAGCCCACATACGGTGGCGTAGAATAACGGTGGTATCATCGAACATTAACCCTTTTATGTGCTCAAGTCATGAGTTTGCTAATGCTCTAAGCACTAAAAGGCCAAATACAACAGGTCTACTAGCGACCCATCAGGAATTTTTTCAGGCCACCCACTTTGGTTTTACTTACACTGTGTGTGTATTTCATGTTAGCCACAGGGGCGGAACTACCATACCGCCAGACCCCGCAATGCGGGGGGGGGGGGGCCCAGGACGTTTAGGGGCCCAGTTCCGACCAAAAAACATTGAATTCTTTTTTAAAAACATTATGTTTTTCATGCATCTTGAAAGTGGTTTTGTAAAAAAAAAAAAAAAAAAAAAAAAAAAAAAAAAAAAACAGGTCTACTATAGCAGAGATTGTTGCGTAGAAAAATATTTTAAAATCTACAAGAGCTATAGTTTGAAAGGTAGGTAAACATTCACACTACTTCCAAGCCTTACTGCCCTTCTTTAAAATAGGGATGCCCACGAAGCTCATTTAAATAGTTTTGTACTATGTATATTAAAAAGCAATTGATTCTCTGAATTGTTACTTAAATAAGACGTACTATACAATAGTATGGCTATAAAAATCAATGTTTTCAAAATTGATATTATAAAAGCCAAAAATGAAAAAAATAAACATAACGCGAGAAACCATTCACGAGTCAAGCTAACGTCTTTATATATTTTTGACCAGCATGAGTACGATACTATTCTTACTCGAACTGAGTGTGGACTAAAGTTTTCTGTTTTGTTCACTCAGAATGGTTATATCTAAAAAAAAAAAAAAAAAAAAAAAAAAAAAAAAAAAAAAAAAAAAAAAAAAAAAAAAAAGAATGGTTATATTTTGCAATCAGGTAGACTAAATTACTCACTTAGGATATAGATCAGGGGTTCCCAACCTTTTTTTACTCTAGAGCACATTCTAAAATATCGGTAGGGTGGAGGGCACCACCTATTTTAAATCGACAAACTCCTTCCAGAGGCGTAGCGACCCTTCCCGTCACCCGGGGACAAAACTTTCGACTTGCACCCCCCCCCCCTCTCAAACTTTCGATTTTCACCCCCCCCCCCCCCCCCCCCCCCCCCCTCAAATTTTCGATTTCCATCCCCTTCAACCTTTTCAATAATGTTTATGAAAAAAATTCTGTCTCTGTCGAATAGTGAGAGGCGGGCACATACAAATCGTTCGGCGGGCGCCATGGCGCCCGCGGGCACGGGGTTGGGAACCCCTGATATAGATTTTGTATATTTATATATATATATATATATATATATATATATATATATATGTATAGGGGGCCCTAGTTTTTTCTTTGCGGGGGAGCCTTTGATTTCTAGTTCCGCCACTGGTTAGCCAGCTTGGATATTCTGTCAAACACTGTTCTCTACTGGTTTAATAGAAAAATCTTGGAAACAACATAAAATTGTGTATAGTGGTCTACCTTTAAAACAAACTAGACAATCTAAAAGCAGGTTTATATTGACATAATATTATTCTTAGCCTCATAAGAAAAATTAAAAGCATAGAGTGTGTTTAGATTGGCATATTTATTTCATTGGCTATACATTAGAAAGGCACTTATTTAAAAAACCAATGACAGTTTAGGTTTGAACTTATTAAACAATTAAAAACAATTTTAAAACCTTAAACAAATACAACATTTCAGTACTTTGTTACAAGAATGCAAAATGTATCTTTTGGTTTTATTCAAAATATTTTTTAATAATGCTTCTCTTTTAAACCAAAAGACAAAAGTAATGCTAGAGTTAATAGGCATCATTTAAATATCAAGAAAAGTAAACAAACAATCACACTTCTAAAATAATCATTCAATTCATACTTAAAAGTTATATTAAAACGGCAGCATTTACATAATACAAATGATTATAATGTATACAAAAATAAATAATTAAGGCTAACCATAATAATGTATATAGGAGTCGTAGATCGAAATTCACATTACATAAATGTGACCAAGATGTTTATAATACAGTGAGTATCGTCCCTTGTATAAATGCTGGTTTTGTAATCAAAGTAGGTTATGGACTTAGCTCCAGCCTTTACAGCCATGCCTAAAAGTAATTGTTACTACACATGTGTATGTTTGTTAATACAAAGTTTTATTAAATAGCATCACATAAAGCTAAATTCAAGACAGCAAGCGTAAATTGTTCGTGATTTTTAAAACTATCTTACACATCACCTGCCATCCGTCAATAACACAGTTGGTTACGGAACTGTGCGAGAGATTAAACATAATAAGCATCGGTTTTATATCATTGTACAATAAGCCGAAGTTTGGTATTATTTAGAAAAATTATAACTCTTTACATTTAGTAGTAACTAGACTACCCGTTATCCTTGGGTAATTGTGGGTTTCGGAGTTCATCCCTAAATGACATCACGTCTGTCACTTATCGTCACAAAAAAACAGACCACACATTCAAAACGATGTCACACCTCAGACGTTTTCGTCTTTTAAAACACCTTTTTTCGGCTGAGCATGGGTCTGACCAAACTATCCCTTCATAGGCTGACGTTACAGGTCAATTCTACACCTGCCAAACTCTACTTCACCTGCCTAGTGTTCAGCCAAGTCCCGATAGACAACTTTATCATTAACATCTAAAAAAATTGAAAAAAAAGTAACATCGACATGGTGTGTCTTGAACCCATACCACCCGCATGGTAACTATTATACATAGTATAATATAATATACAATATTATATATAATATTATACATTACCTTTGAGTCTGCGTAAAAACTTGTTTTATGCGAAAAAGGCCTAGTATTATTTCAAAGTAAATTTTATCCCAAATTAGCCAATTCCATTGCTAAACAAACAAAAAGTTATATAAAATAATTAAGGTCTAAAATAGTTTAGTATATAAACTCATTATTGGCATAGATCCTAGATTTAGATAGAGTTAGAGATATAGAATCTACGCCTGGCTTAAGTCTAGTTTTTCCGTAGCTCTAGATCTAGAATCTAGATAGATAAATTCCGTGTATTCTCGAATTAGACGATCCTTGCTAAAATGCAAAGGTTTATATCACATTTTTAAGGACTAACATAGCTTAATAAAGAAGCTCAATAACTTTTTTTTTTGTTTTTGTAATGGATGTTATTTTTAACTAATTAATTTTGGTTTGACCTAGATTCTAGATTTTAGATCTAGGATTGAATTTCCATTCCTCTGACTGCTTATCTGTAGATTTAGAGAAATTTATTGTATACTCAAATTAGAAGAACTGTTGAAAATTGATAATAGTGTTTGGGACCTAATAAAATAGCAAACTGGCGTATTGTTAAAGCTACAGCCGACAGAAAATGTAGCTTTATAATGTGTGAAACTTTTGAATGGGCAACTTGATTTTTTATGAAAGACGTCAAGTTTGTTGAAAAAAAAAGAATCAAGTAACATTATTATAAGTAAAGTCATTGTTCTGAACTTTTAAAATTAATGTGGTGTATCTAGCAAAGAATATATCAATACATTAAATAACGTCTACAAATACATTTGTGATTAACAGTTTGGAAAAAAGAAGTACATTATCCTCTACCTAAATACGTATTTTACATCTCTACACATAGTTTAGATTCTCTCATGTAACCAAACAGACAAATAAATTAATAAACTTGAGCTTTAGTAGTATATGGACAGATTGTAACACTAGTAGTGTGAACAGATTAATGAATCAATTCTAGAAAAGACCTTTACGAAATTAAAAAAAAACGAATATATTGTTGTATAAAAAAGTACATGTTCAACATAACTGAAACCTAAATCTAAATTTACTCGAAAACATTACCTGAAACTATAACTAAAAGTATATTCCTTACTTTGAAACTGGTTTCAATAAAATCATAAGCCCGGACACAAATAGCTATTATGAATCGGATGCCATCGTGTAGGCCTACATTTTTTCTCGCAACACATTGGACATTTCTGAAACATTAGACTGCATTACGTTACACGTGGTTTCAGTGTATACCATCCATTGCAGTGTAAATAATTTCCATATATTCCCTCCAATTTTTATACTATCAAAATACTAAAAAATAATTTATCGGAATCGCAACATGCTATTAAAATGCTATATAATTTGTATTAGAATGAAAATTGTATTTGAAGAATACACAATTTGTAAGCTATCTCAAAAATAATTAAATAATTGTTTGAATGTTCAAATATTTTCACCAACTGAAGGTAAACAGTTTTTTTCAAACCCCAATTTGAATTTTGAAAATGTTAAGCAATTTAAAAAAACGAAACTTCGTGTTTAAATTGTAGAAAAGATGTCTTCTATCTCTCTTAAAATTTGAAAATATTAAATTCTTCTACAGAAAGCCCAACTAGTATACAAAACAGATTAGTTTGTATGTAATTTCAAGTCTATAAAGAATAATACACTTTCAGCTTTGGTTTGGTAAACAAAAAGTATAAAGCAAAAAAAAAAACATCAGGTTTAAGCACATTTTAAACATGATTTTGGCAAAATAACTGGCACAAAATTTGAGCAATTTTGATTCATTATTAAATACTGGACAGAAGAAAACAGTCCAGGTATGGATTTAATAATTCTTGTCAGGTCTTCTGATTCATACTCAGGGCATGCTCCAGAAATAAACAACGTGCCATTGTAGGTCAACGCCCCAAATAACTGTCGTGGAAACTCCCACAGGTTCGCGAGATACAAAAACTCAATATCACCAAACGAGGGTAAATTCACCTTCCAAAGAGTGCCGTTTGCTTGAAGAATGTAGGTGTTGTCATCGTCGTTGAAGCTCACCATGCTCTCAGCGCTACCGTCCATGTTGGTTAGCCTCGACCATACCATACCATGCATGTCCAAACAATAAACTGTCATCGTATCAACACCTTTAGTAAACTCCGTGTAAAACACTAGCATGTACTTGTCGAAACACATCGCAAACTCCACAGATATTATATCCGGGAAAGGATACAACAATTCCAAATCTTTGTATGTCTCATTGATCTTGTATATCATTTTGTCTTCTTTATTTAAAATAAACAATATATTTTCATGTGCAATCAGGTACAAAGATCTAGTTGGCAAATCCATGATTCGATCCCAGTTCCTTTCTGTCAACACACACAAAGTGGCCTTTGTTTGCTGTGCGTCTCTAGCTCCTACGGCGTATAATTTTTGTCCAAGAGCTAAGATCTGTATTTCTAATTTTAGACCTGGCAGCGAACAGAGAGAACACCATTTCCCATCGTTCATAGATACAGCCTGTAACGACCCACCAGGTTCAACACAAACTCCAACATTTACGTATTCGCTGCTCGTTCTATATGTTGCAGCATTCGGCCACTGCCCGTTGGTGAAAATTTTAAGATTATATAAAATCCCTTTTATTATTATTTCCTTAGCATCGGTGTTGCTCTTCACTAAATCATGGTTTAACGCACGAACCAGACAAGATGGGGTCAGAAGACAAGTCTTCACTGCTTTCAACATTTCTTGAAAGTACGTTTTTCTATCCTGTACTTTGATTGAACCTTCATCGTTGCCAATGGGTTCACTTTGTGTAGCTTGTATGGACACCACTGAGTCAGTCTCATTTGCTAATTCTATTGATTCAAATAGTAAGCCTTCGGTATCTTCATCAGTGCTCGTATACTGCACCCAGTTTATCACAGCTTCTAAAACCAAATCTTCATTTTTTATCACCAGTTTCGGGCTTTTAACCAGCTCAATTACTTTCTCAGCTGGCATTTCGAAAAACTGATTTCGTTTACTTATCGTTTCAAAATTTATTAACATAAAATCCTCACAAAATTCTGTTACATTTTTCGAGCCTAAATATTTAGCAATTTTAAAAATTTCATCAAAATTATCAAGCGATAAAAGTTCTTTGGCAAAACTTTCACACCGCTTGATAAGGCATGAAACCTGCAACTGGTTGACAGCCTGCCAGACATCAATGAAGTTCTCTTTCGTCAAGATATCTTCTGCCGTGTATAGACTATGTAGAATCTGCTCGAAGGTCCTCACTGATATCCCGTTCAGTGTAACACAACTTGTGTTGGCCTCCTTCATCCCTGACATCAACAGGCAATAGAAGAATTCCGAACACGCAGCCAAAACCACTCGGTGACAGCCGATTTCTACGTCGTCAATTTTAACCGTAAAATCATGAAGTCGATTTTCTGATTTCATTTTTCCAAGGCATTGCAAGATTTCAGCAGCAATATCGCTTCTAAATGACATGATGTGTCGGATTTATTGTGTAGGGATGCTACTTAATGAAAGGTCCCTGTAGTATTATACGTCTATGTTATCTGCAGAGTTTCATAAATCATTCAAAATTTTAGAATAACTTTATCAATAAACAAATAATAGACATTTAAAAAAAATTATATTTTAAAGGAATTCTTAATACAATACTAATTTATTTAATATTAATTCGCTCGTTGAATTACTGTTGATTATTGAGGAAGTTTATTTGGCATACACAAGCTCACAATCTTTCGTTGTTTAACAAAAGCGTTGTTTTTTTCAGTCAAACATCTCTTTCTTATACTTTTTCAAAAATGTAATTTAAGCACAACAAAACACTGTATTTATTTTAGAAAATACAACACAATATATATATATATATATATATATATATATATATATATATATATATATATATATATATATATACACGGTCTACCTGAGAACACGTCTAAATTTAGATAGCTTCAGTAATTTTAATCAATAAATATGTGTAGTAATAGATTTAGATATCTTCAGTAACTTTAATCAATAAATATGTGTAGTAATAGATTTAACTATGCTAAGAGGGTCGTAAATGTAATAATACTGGTAATTTAAAAATATAGATATTTAACATGCATGCACATTTTGTTCTATAAAATACATTTTGTATAGAGCCGAGGGTGTGTTATATCAAAACATAATCTCAATGATTTCTTAACTTTCGAAATCCAAAGGATAATCCTTTCCTATTATAAATTAGCTATAACTCGCTATTAATAGACTAGGCATGCTGCCCAGCTTTGCATAGGCTTTCGAAAACATTGAGAATTTGAATGCTTAATTAATTCGCCCGAGGGTCGGTCTACGACCTCAGGAGTTATGAAGAGGTTCCTCCGTGGACATTTTTTTTTCGATTTATAGCTCATATAAGGCGCCGGTCAGTCGAGGTCAGTTTTGCCCCCATCATCGTAGACTTTTCGGCCAACCGGCCCCCGTGTTCTGTTGCCCCAAGGCAAGATCCTGCCAAATTTGAAGCGCCTGCGGCGCCGGGAAGTGCCCTATCGGGCACCCGACAACTTTGCTTTATATATTATAGAGATTAGCAAATTGCATAGATAAACAAAGATTTCAATAAAGTAATTAAGGCCTGAAATACTTTAGTATAGAAATTTATTATTTGATTAGATGAATCTAGAATATCTAGATCTAGAATCCAAATAAATAAAATAAATTTTATGAGTTTAGGCCGGAAAAATTGTATTGTATACATTTCATAGTGTACGTAGATCTAAATCAAATTTGAATGAAATAGTTCATTTCTTTTTATTCTAAACACGGCAGATGACGTCATTAGTTAATGTATAAGCAATAGTGACGTCACAGTTTTATGCGTTCTTTTTCACATCTATTAATGATTTTCCGGTTGCATAAATAATACTGTTTCTCTACATTCGAATACGCCTTTAATTTTTATTTTTCTTCTTTAAATAAAATTGTGGTTATACATTTAAAACATCTAACATATTATTTTCAACAAAAGTCCGTATAAAGTTCACCATATATAGCTGCCGTTTCTGACGTGATTTCCGGCGAAAATATTTTGCGGACAGACAGAGAGAGAGAGAGAGAGAGAGAGAAGTGCGCACATGGGGAATTATATATTAGGATTGAAATTTTGGCTACTTAAATCAAGTTACATTAAGTTAACAAACAATATCACTTACCTTAGTGCAGTATATTATATTCTGACACGCTTATAAAACATGCTACATGTTCTTCATTAGGTTTGATTTATATCCTGTTACAGTAGTCAGAACAATAACAAAAGGCCGAGCACATTACTGTCGCACGATATGTGTATCGAAATATTTGCCGTAACGCGTCAGAATCGATATTTTTTCCCCGTATCACTTGTTAAAGTCCAGACATAGGTATCGATACTAGCGAAAATAATCGCACACGCCATGTCAGCGTTTCTCAACGTACTGTCTGTGCAACAAGGAAGTAATGCGGGATTTTATCTTATCGGGGAAAAAAAGGCTTGCAAATAGGTCACCCACTTCTCGTTCAAGCACTTGGCAGCTAGTATTTTTAAACCAAACGAGCTGACCCGCGACGTAGCATACGCCGCGATCTAGTTGTTTTATTTTCTGCTTATCAGCAATGCATAATTTGTGAATTCAACACTACCACCTCGCCCCCCCCCCTCGCCCAGTGAAAGCAGCCGTTTACAGACAATGAAAAGATCAATCAGAAATTGTTACCTCCCTTTCGTTTCAAATCGTTTAGTACTAAATTATCTGCCCCTAATTGCCGTCGCTAACCCGGCTCCACGATTGTAAACATTCGGCGTGAACCAAAGCTCACCAGATTGGTGGGGGTGGGGGTGGTAGCGATTTGCCTGGAGAGCGGGAGAGTAGCGGCGTGCGTCTACGTCGTGTCCTTCATGGTCACCATGACAAGAATTGTATATAAAGATGTGAATATTTTTAACACGTTTTTCTTAACTCAGCTTCGCGTTTGTAGATTTGTGGATTTGTTTGTTGTTAAAATTGACATCGAAAATTAGCCCACTTCTGATTGCTCTACAGATCTGAAATTTGGCATGCAGGCTACTTTTGCCTAACAATTTCAGATGCAATCATAAAAACTAGCAATTAGAGACCGTAATTAGCTTAATTTAATTACGCCCCAAGGACCATAAAATTGAGGACATGATTTCTAAAGATACCGATAAGACTGGAGGCCTATTGACACAGTTACTTCGGCCCCAATCGATGTGAGCGCGCTGGCCGTGATCGTATAGTGGTTAGTACTTCGCGTTGTGGCCGCGACAACCCAGGTTCGAATCATGGTCGCTCAAGATTTTTAGTCCGTGTATTTATAAACACTTAGTCAAGTCATACTTAATCAAGTCATTAGATAAAGTAGAAAATAAACTATATAAAAAGCTTTTTTAAAACCACGTTTTTCATGTGTAGCAACGGACTAAAAAGGAGAAAATAAAATACTTAAAAAAAACTTTTTAAAAAACCACGTTTTTCTTGTGGACTAAAAAGTAGAAAATAAAATTGCATACATTTGATGACAAAAAACGTGGGTCGGGCAGATGGGTCGGGAAATTTGATGGTGAACGTACCCACGTTTTTTTGTCATCAAATGTATGAAATTTTATTTTCTACTTTTTAGTCCACAAGAAAAACGTGTTTTTTTTAAAAGTTTTTTTTAAGTATTTTATTTATCACATTGGTAAGATTAGTAAAAAATAGAAAAATTACTTTCGGTAGAGTAAAAACCTGCCTGATCTGAAAAAAACATATTACCGCAATTGGGTAACTGCTCGGGCAATCGCTAGTATTTATCTTTATTTTAGTAATATTTTAATTAAATTTTAATAACAAATCCAATGCTAAATTGGATGTTTTTTTTTTCCACAGGCAGATAACTCCCACCGTCAATTTGTCTTGTCATTTACGATTTTGTGCTTCAGTTTCCATCATCGGCTTATGAGGACTAATACAACAGTAATACTTCTTTCTGACATGTACTTTCAATAATTGAAGATGGCTAACTTCTACATACATAAAGTTTACCAAAAGGTCACAGAAACAGGTGAACTCTACTTCTCTTGCCCAATAAACCGTCAGGTTTGAAAGGGAATTTTGCTTTTACTTATAGGGGGCGGTTGCCTGAAAGAAACTCTAAATGCGACTTTTGTCAAGTTTGAGCTAAGGTTCAAGGTTTAGTCGTATGACTACGACGATATATTTAGTATCAATGTGCAGTAATTACGTGTTCTCTTTGTCTGCATTTCTGTAGCGAGTTGTTTTTTAGGATATAACGTTGCTGACTTTATGCTAAACTCCCAACCTGAAGGACCTAACTACGTGTAGATCAAGCTTAAATCCTATTGAATTCTTGATAAAAATCCGTATTCAATGGCATTGTTCGTTTCCGGTTAAACTTGAAGTTGAGGTGGTGATTTTGGTTTTGGTTTAGAGAAAAAGACAACACTAGCGCCCGTTGTATTTTTATCCCTCAAACGGGCCATTTGCCTCGTTTAGAAATATTTTAAACAGTGCCCGGTTTTAACGGTGCCATAAATCTGTCTATATAGGATTTTCTAAAAATGTTAATTTCTAGGAGGTTAGTCAATCTCATCCCGCACCTCCATCTTAAAATCTTTAACATGTTAACGTGACATCGCCACTGCATGAGTGTATCTGATGGTCGATAAGAATGTTTAAAAAGCAACAGAGGGAAATAACTCATAAATTAACAAACTAAACAAAAGATACTATAATTGATGAAAATATTTAATAATAGAAGTAGTTAGTTTATTATGACAATAGTACAATATATTTTATAATAAAAAGGTACTTTAAGCACATAGTTTAATAATATAAGCGAATTTTCAACAATATTTTATATTTAATTTTATTCAAAAACAAATACTTTATAAATGATATTATTTTTTATTCTATATAATAAAGATACACATTTACACTTTACTTTCTGTTTATTGTATTAAGCTATTTATTTCCTTTTCAACAATACTGTATTATTCATCACGATTTATTTACATATATATATATATATATATGTATATTTTAATATATATATATATATATATATATATATATATATATATATATATATATATATATATATACGGTGTGTTTGTGTGGACGAGAAAAGAAACGGGTAGCCTACGTGCCTGGGCCTACCCATGTGTATGTACAACTGTTCCTCTACGCGCACATACAGCGTTAGCGTAAGCCTTGTCATATTCATACACGCAGATTGGCTACGTGCATGTAGACGGCTAGAGTCCTGATTCAATTTTTGTTCGCCGGAGTAAAGTTTTATTATTAGCCATCAAATAAATTTAATGTGAATCGAAGACGGATTCAAAATTTTACAATTCCATTGTGTTATAAAAATGATCCACCAAACCAACACGAAGTAAGTATATTCGTATATTAGCAACAATGGTTGGGATAGTACTTCCGCTTGAATTCAATGTAGGCAATTTCTAAACGAAACGGCTCGTTTATTTTTTCAAGAAAACTCAAAGAGGCGAATATGTTGTCTATGAGGGGGGAAAAGCGTCCCGTCCCCAGCGTGGCTGTTGTCTCTGAAAAAAAGGCTGACGCAATAGTTTTAGAGGATTTCTTCAATGCGTTACCAACGGGCGTATTTTTAGACGCGTGACGTTGTTTCCTAAAACTAATTTATTTCGTGGATGCTAGTTGTAATTGCGCGGGTTTGACCAAATTTGGAGTTAGAATGTACCTCAGCGACCGTTTAAGTTTTAAAAGCGTTACCGGGCGTCTCTCAGAAGCCACCAGTTACATTACCAAAGAGGCACCGAGCAAGGCTTCACTTCGGTTTAATCACCGAATGCCGTGTACCAACGTAGCCGTATTGTCGGGAGCCCTATTGTATAAAAGAAAGTAAACAGAAAGTAAACAGTAGATAAATTGCTGAAACCAATTATGTGGGACGTATTTCAATGTAAAAATAAAATAATTAAAATAATAAGTAATCTTCACATCTAGTTAGGTATCAAAATTTAAATAATTTAAATTGATTGTATTTCCATCACTAAATTAAGATTCAAACAATCATTTTAAAGAAGTAATAAAATAATCTTAAACTACACAATAACGTTAAAAATAATACGATTAAAAACACGAAATAGTCGAATGAGTATAAAAAAGAGAGTTTCATTAAACTAGATTACGTTCAAATCACTAAACAACAGCATAGACCTAACAATTTTTAATTTAAAATTACTTTTTATATTTTTACCTATTAAAAAACTTCAATATTATCTTTTTTAATATCTACTTTTTCTTCATCTAAGTAAGTACCACAAACCAAACAAATTTGTGTATGATACAATTCTTCAGAAACTCAACTCCACCATCTGCACTTTACCACCAATGTACATACCGTTAATGGACAAAGGTGATTTCACATGCGTAAAATTAGAGAAATAATCTCCATTAATATAAATCAAAAAGACATCGGTACGGACTAGAATGTGTATTTTGAAAGGTCGCCCAATCACATAGGGGTAGTTGAAAGGCGGAATCTGATTTTTATTCCAGGACCCGTTTAGATGATAGGTGAGAATAATGACCGGTTGTTTAGTGTAGAAGTCGGGCCGTGCGTACATGTGGAAGATGATGTTGTTCAGGTCTATGATGAAGTTCACGGAAAATCCTTCGACAGCTGTGTAAATTCCCGTCAGATATACCTGTAAGAAAACAAAGATTTCTAAAGAAACAAGAAATTGGATAAACTATTTTTTTTACAATACAACCTTTTTTTTCTTCCTCAATAAAATAAAATCTCAAAGCCGAGTTAATTCCATACATCTACGTAAAAAAATTCTAGATTTACAAAACCCAAGTACCTTAAAAGGCGTTTTAAAAATAAAATCTGCTATATTTGTGATAGAAATTAAGGTCTTTGTCAGTTTGAATGGCCTTTCGATGGAGAAACGCGATATTTTTATTACCCCGGAGCAGCATATGGTGCAGTCGATTATATATTTTTTTAAATGTATAGGCTATTAGAAAAAGGGGGTCGCTCTCAGCGATGTCTTAGAGTCTGACCGATAATATTCCCCGCGTTCAATTCTCCCAATGCGGCCGCCTGTCAAATTTGAAGCATCTGTGGTACTCGCAAGTGCTCTAAATGACAGCTGACAACTTTCGGCAAACCGTTTTCAACAACATTTGGTCTTAACTAAATCCTAACCGGTATTCTCTATTGAAAATATAACAGGAAGCTTAAATCGTTTCTTCTAACCTATAGCTAAAATAAAATAAATTTAAATAAAATGGTAAGAACTCTTAACATACCACGGTGCCCGGCTTCAGTCCATTTTCCACTCGAATCACTCTAATCAAAGTTGTACCATCTGGTACAAATGAAGTCTCAACTTTTGTTGTCTGCCAGTAAAAGTAACTCGTGTTAACGAACGACAACTCTTTCGCCTGATCCCCATAACACACAGAGCAGGTTCTTGTCTGACTTGTGTAGTTGAAAGCCGAGCATTTCACATCTTTAGAACAGGCGCCTGCGCAGATAACTTGACTTCTGACATCGTTTAAGTTTCCACACGCTTTAAAATTTGCGGAAAACTTTCGATAATTATAAACCATATTCCCATCACCAGCTTGTGTACTGGTTAAGTAAAGCAGAACTTGAAGAACTGTTTCCAATCCTAAGCCAAAAGCTAGAAATGATATTATAGATACAATTTTTCCGTACATCATGAAGGAAATGGACAGAGCAATGTTGCTTGCTGCCTTGTTCAGAGTCTATTTGATCAGGATCCCAACCATTACATACAAGCATCGAATTGATATGGACATAAATGTAAGCTATATTTTATTGTATCGAACTGAATAAAATGACGCCCACCAACTAATTAGCAAAAATACATATTAATTTCGAAAATAAAGCCTGTAATAAAATTAAAACAGGAGAATCCTTTCAATTTCTTAGCAAAAGAATTATTTAATACGTTACGTAGAACAGTTTCTGTCTTTTTTTTAAACGCATAACAAGGGACTGCACTATTGAAGCAAAACAAAAATGTACAGAGGCTCTTCGATTTATAACTGCCCCGACATAAGAGATTTTCGAGATACGAGCTGTTAAGCGAGCAAAAATTTGCTTTGACATACGACCAAAATGTTTAATATTTGTATATTCGACTAGTTCGTTGATTAGAATTACCCCGAAAACGTTGCACCTGATTGTGTGTGGGAGCTATTTAATGGCACTTAAGTTAACTCATTTCCTTAACATTCTGAAAAGGAGGAAAATACATACATCATTGGGCAGGTTTATTTTAAGGGCCTGGGTTGAAAAGTAAGAAAAGTGTGGAAAGCGTAATAGCAAAGACAAGGCTGCAAAGAGAAAAGCATTGAAGAAACTTAAGCGAAAGTAACAAAACATTATATAGTAAACTTTAGTTTTAATTATGCTCGTTTTATTTTCGTTAAGTTTAGAGATAAAGTATAGCATTTAGAATGTAACAAGTAAATGAATTAAAGTGATCGAAAGAACTTAGCATTAACCATGAGTTAGTGAACGGAGTGAGGATACTCCGCCTATCTCTTATACAATTTATAAAATCAGTTTATTCCTGTGCATTATATTTTGTTATGTTATGTTTTTAAACATTTTTTGTCATAAATAAACACACGTTTTCTGAAAAAAAAACACGAGTGTGGCATTTTGTGCCTGGAGCAATCAATAGTCATTCAAATAATTTCAATGTAGATAATCGATTTGATGTCACTGCAATTTGATATACGAGCAATGTTACGGAACAAATAGAATTCGTATCTCGAGGTAACATTCTACTTAAATTAGTAAGGCAGTCAACTACTTTACTGATATAGCAGGTCGGTTTTTGGGATTGTTTTCCACACCTTTTGTGGCTCTGTTTTTGTTACTGTTGCTATTTGTGTTTAATTATACTTGGATACTTTCTTTCATCCGAGAGGTTTGTATTCGTTACCACAATCATATGCACGTTTTATAAAGGATATTTTCATATCCAAAGAATTTTTTATGTTTTGTTTCCCTGTTCTACAACAAACCAATTTTGTTTTCGTCACCATAAGTACATTCAAAGCAGAGGCGTATACAGGTTTCCGGGTTTGGGTGAGCGGAGAGTCAATAAAAAGGCGCCATATATATATTAGCTATATGTCATTGCTTCTCTACGGTGTAAAATCATTCAAAGAGTACTCTGAAGAAAAGAAAAGAATTAAATACAATGTAGGCAGACTAAATATTTTGTCACATAAAATAAAATATACACACAATACAACCAAAAACAATAAACACAATCTATTTTGTAATCATTGTAAAAAAAACATTTTTTGTAATGGAATATTAATAAAACACGTGAACTACAGTAGAGGAAATAATCTCTTTTTTAATATAGGTATTCTATGCCTACACATTTAGCTGTAATCGTCAAATTCGAACCAAATTAAGAATTACTTTACATTCAATATATTCGCCGATTACTATTCATTTTTCAAATGGAAACAAATGTTGTGCAAATATTTAATATCGAAACCCATACCATACACCCTCGCTGTACCCCCTGACCAAATGGGTTAAAACATCAACGGTTTCACAAATACCTAATGCCGACAAGTACTAAGGAGATGCAACTGTCAGTGGCTTAGCCAGGATCGTCTCAAGGGGGGGGGGGGGGGGGTTCCAATTTTTACCCGGGGACAAACTTTCGATTTGCACCCCCCACCCTCAAACTTTCGATTTGCACCCCCCCCCCCTCAAACTTTTGATTTGCACCCCCCCCCCCTCAAACTTTCGATTTGCACCCCCCCTCAAACTTTCGATTTGCATCCCCCCCCCCCATCCTCAAACTTTCGATTTGCACCCCCCGCCTCAAACTTTCGATTTACACCCCCCACTCATACTTTATATAAATACACCGAGGGGTCTATGGGGGGGGGGGGGGAGTTATGACCCCCCCCTAACCCCGCCTGCCAACGCCACTGGCAACTGTATCTATCTAGCGCGACTTGTTTGTTTATCAAGATGTAAATTTAGAATACAGCCGCTCTAAAAGATACCAACAAGGTAGTGTCAGCAATCTAATCAATTATTGCTTCAATCGTCAATCAATATATTCTCATTGCAGTGAGCTGTTTATAAAGGAAGCTGAATTTTTTTCTAGGTATGCCGAAATAGTTTTAAATATTAACGTTAGATATATCGATTTTTAATCGATTCGTTCGATCCTTTAGCGCAAATGAAGATAATGTGATTATTCAACATTTTAAATTATTTAAAATTAACACAAGAACGATTCGTGTATCGTATACACATACATCAAATTCAGGTTGAACAAATTGATTTTATTGTCACTGAATTAAAATAAAATAAATTTAGGTGGCTGTTGAAATTCTGATGATTTTCGGTATATCAGTTACGTCAGTGGCTTCAAAATTTCAAACATTTGTGACGTGATATTCATCTAGGATAACTGACACCAATACTGTCAGTAGTGTTAGGATTGTTACATATAAGTATTTACGTAGATTTAGAGTAGCGTCCCTTTTGTTTACATGTTTCCATTAACCTTTAATCTATAGTCTATTTTAGTATATTCAGATCAAAGAATGTAAATAAATAGTACACACACATTTTGTAGCATAGGAACGATTGGGAGGGAAGTGACATAGAGCGCAGAAAACTTAGATGTTAGGCGGGGTATAAAAGGTGGGGTTAGGATTATTAGGGGGTCCATTCTCTTATAGGCATCCTAGGTTGTGTGATATTACAAGCAATAAAAGTAACGAATTGTGAACGGACTTCGTGTTGGTTTCTTGTCGACCCTGTCCTCAACTCACAACAGATGGTGGAACAGCTGGTTGCTCAACGCAGTAGAACAACGTACATCCACCCGATGGTTCTTCCTAACGACCGTTGTGACCTACATTACGCCTATCGTTTGCCGCAACACGCCTGCATTTAGATTCGCCTGCCAAATATTGCAGTGCACCGTGATCTACAGCCGTACCAGATTCGCCTGCCAACTATTGCAGTGCACCGTGATCTACAGCCGTGCCAGATTCGCCTGCCAACTATTGCAGTGCACCGTGATCTACAGCCGTGCCAGATTCGCCTGCCAACTATTGCAGTGCACCGTGATCTACAGCCGTGCCAGATTCGCCTGCCAACTATTGCAGTGCACCGTGATCTACAGCCGTGCCAGATTCGCCTACCAACTATTACAGTGCACCGTGATCTACAGCCGTACCAGATTCGCCCGCCATCTATTGCAGTGCACCGTGATCTACAGCCGTGCCAGATTCGCCTGACCTTGGACCGTGAATGGACCTTTCGACACTTGATTTAGCTGCTCGAGTCGTTATCGTTTGGGCAGAGACGGACTTCTGTTCGACCGTTACGATATCCAGCGACCATATCAGGTCTCTGATCGTCTATTGACTCCAATCAAGTTCAGGACTACAGACGTGGAGAGTGGACCGAGTGCGCACCGTGTGACACCATCGTGGGATACAAGCTTAGGATTATTTAAAGATAAGTACCTTTTCCTTCATTCTTAGATAGCATTTAATATTTGTATAGTTTATAGTTTTCCTCCATCGCTTACTTCATAAGGGCGGTTAGGGTAGGAGGATTCTAAGCGATTCCTCTATTGTCCAGTAGGTTCTGTTTATCTTCAGGTGGGGGACATACCTGGGAGAGGGCGTTATTGTTAGAAGATAACGTTAGGACCCCGCCTGCAGATAATCACTGCGACTGTTGGCTTTCTTGGTAATTTATTCCTCCATTGTTATTACCCATACATTGTGGTACACGGTTCGGTATGGGAACGGCCGAACATCTGGGTCTCCTTTTTGAGTTGGGGGAAAGGCTAGGCTATTCAGGCGAAGCTCTGGATGATTGGGCGCAGCATCAGATTAATGCAGAACATGAGCGTAAGACTAGTGAGGCCAAATTAGATATTGCGATCGCTGAACAAAGGGCGAAGATAGAGCTAGATTTAGAAAGACTTAGACTAACAGAAAAGTCTAGAGCGGAAATAGAATTAGAAAAACTTAGGCTGGCCGATCAACAGAGTAGGGCTGAGTTAGAACTTGAAAAGCTTCGATTACAAGTACGCCTGGAGGAATCCAGGCATCAGGTAACAGCAACAGACAATAGGGACCGTGATAGTACGGGACTGGGAATATTGGGTAAGATCCCGAAATTTGAGGAAGGTAGGGACAATCTCGATTCGTTCATTCGTCGGTTTGAAACCGTTGCTAGGTCAACTAATGTCCCTGAATCCCAATGGGGCACCCAACTCCTCGTGCTAATTGGAGGTAGGGGGCTGGATGCCTGCCAGAGTCTGACTGAACATCAGATGAAGGAGTTTAAAATATTAAAACAGACTCTGCTAGAATATTATCACCTCACGGAAGATGCGTACCGCCAGAAGTTCCGTAATTTAAAACCTAGTAACTCGGATGATTTTAAAATATTCATCAACGAGATTAGTGTCACATTCAACAAGTGGTTTGAGGCCTCTGGTTTAGAACGAACTGCCGATAACCTACAGGAATTTTTCCTGGTGGACAAGGTTCTTTGTTCGGTTGATAGGGACTTGTTTAGTTATCTACAGGAACGTAAACCTCGCGACCTGCCAACGATAACAGATCTCTGCCAAAAATATCAGGCTGCTCACCCTGATAGACCAGTCGCGAATGACTCAACACCAATGACGCCCACTATTTTTACCGCCCAACCTTCACAATCGGGGAGAGGTAGAAGCTCATACAGGGATGAGGGCCTATATAATAGATCAGATAATAGATCCTCCTCGTTACCCAGGGGAAGTAACTGCTATCACTGTAATCAGTACTCTCATAAGGATTGCCCTTGTAGTAGCACGTCTTTTAACCAGAGACCGATAAGATGTTTCAAGTGTGGCCGAACGGGACACGTGAGCAGACAATGCAGGAACGGTGGTGGTGGGAATCATAACTTAAATGGCGACCGACGGTATGGGGTTGATACGCCGAGGGACAGAAGATGACTAGGTCTTGTATTTGATAGTGAACCTCCCACTAAATTATGTACTATCAAATGTAGAGTGGGGGATAGAATAGTTGATACATTGAGAGATACGGGTGCAAATATTTGTGGGGTTCGATGTAACTTAGTTGAACCACATGAATACACAGGACAATCATTGGAGGTTGAAGGTTTTGGTGGTGTAGCGAACACCTGGCCTGTGGCGATAATACATATTGATACCCCTTTCTATACAGGTAAGGTGAAAGCGGTGGTGTTTAAAAAGGGCCCGTATGACCTAATCCTTGCTAACGGTCCAGGTATAGGTAATCCTTCAGAAAAATATATCTATGAGTGGTTAAAGACGCAGCGAATTACGCTGGCACAAACTAGGTCTCATACAAAGAAAGAAGCCCTACGGGTAGAAGAATCGGATAATGTAAATAACATGTTGACGAGACAAGCATCGGACGAACAGGTCACATCGATATGGAATCCGGCGGTGTTCCAGAAGGAACAGAAAGATGACCCCAGCCTCGCGAAAATATTTAGATTAGCGCAAAAAAATTCAGTCACGTTATCAAAGTCTACGTCACATGCTTTTACGATAAAGAATAATTCGTTGGTCCGCGTGTACAGAGACAAGGACAGGGAGTATACACAGTTGGTCACACCCAGCAAATATAGACCTATCGTTCTAAAACAGGCACATGATCTTTCACTTGCCGGTCATATGGGGCGAAGAAAGACAAAGCTACGTATTCAGACAGCGTTTTATTGGCCAGGTATGGACAGGGATATAGCTAAATATGTACAGTCGTGCAAAGTTTGCGGGGAAAAGGGGAAAACACCACAACCAGCACCGTTACAAAAAACAGATCTAGCGTGTCGCCCATTTCAGAAAATTGCGATAGATATTATTGGTCCTCTGAGTCCTACGTCTGCAAGAGGCCACAGGTTCGTACTGACCATAGTTGATCTAGCGACTAGATGGCCCGAAGCTTACCCTCTCAAATCCACAACTTCGAACGATATAATTAACTGTTTAATACAGTTCTTCTCTAGAACGGGTTTTCCCGAAGTGATATTGTCCGATAACGGGCCCCAGTTTGCCTCAGAACTAACTAATAAAATCTCCTGTTTGTTGGGTATCAAACAGGTTTTTGCAACCCCTTACCATCCTCAAAGCAATGGCATTTGCGAACGTCTCAATGGCACTATAAAGGCCATGTTAAGTAAACTACCCATAACTGATAGCTTTAATTGGGATTTAATTTTACCATGTTTGTTATTTGCATATAGGGAATTACCGCATACAGTCACCGGGTTTTCCCCATTTGAATTAGTATATGGCGCGAATCCTAGAGGACCCATGCAGCTAATGAAGTCCCTGCTATTGAATGAACAATTAGATAGTGACACAAAAATGTCTTATGAGAGGGTTATTGATCTACGTGAGCAAATAATTAGGACTTGTGAAACAGCTAAAATGTCATTAGATATTAATCAAGAAATATACAGAGCCAGAATCAATAATAGTCGGAGATTGAGGAAATTCAATGTGGGGGATTTAGTGAGGGTTTTACTACCCTCAAAAGACAATAAGATGCAGCTGGCTTGGCGGGGGCCTTTTAAGATTACTAGAAAAGTGACAGACGTAGACTATGAAGTCGATATAAATAACAAGCACCGTATTTTTCATGTGAACATTTTAAGTTTATTCGAGGTACGGCCAGATGAGCTGGAACTGTCTACCGTGACGCCTACAGTAAATTGCGCTATGATTAACAACACTGAAGATTGTGATGACAACGAGATTCACACAGTGTCATCTGGACAAGAGAGTTATAGGGATGTAAAATTAGGACAAATGCCTGACGACATTAAAACCAGAATTTCACAACTTCTGCTCGACTTCTGCGACGTATTGTCTGCCATTCCTGGTAAAACGACTGCTATAGAACATGAAATCAATTTAACATCTGGGCGACCAATAAAGCTACAACCCTACAATATACCATTACACTATAGAGAACGGGTACAAGCCGAAATCAAAGATTTATTAAAATCCGGTATAATTGAACCGTCGGACTCCTCATATGCTGCACCTATCGTTTTGGTGAAAAAGAAAAATGACGAGATCAGGTTGTGTGTTGATTATAGACAGTTGAATAAGGTAACAATACCGGACGCAGAGCCTATGCCAAACCAGGAAGAACTGTTTATCAAAATAGCGCAGGCAAAAATTTTTTCTAAGTTCGATTTATCTAAAGGTTACTGGCAGATCCCGATCAAAGAATCATCTAAGAAATTTACTGCTTTTGTGACACCTTTTGGTTTATATCATTGGAATTTTATGAGCTTTGGGCTTATTAATGCCCGGCCACCTTTAATAGATTAATGAGACGGGTGTTAGCGAGTAATAATGATACAGTGGCTTATCTTGATGATATTTGTTTATTCTCTAAGAACTGGGATGAGCACATCACTGGTTTACAGGCGCTTTTCACAGCTTTAAAAAATAATGGTCTAACAGCAAGACCCAGTAAGGTTGAAATTGGCATGACAGAAATCCAATTCTTAGGTCACATGATTTCGTACCAAACTGTAAAACCTGTGGGCGAAACGTTAAAGCATATTCTAGACATAAAAATTCCTAAGTCCCTAAAAGAAGTACGTAGTTTGATAGGACTGTGCAACTATTATAGGAAATTTATTCCTAATTTCGCCTCACTGGTACACCCAATCACAGAGTTAACTAGAAAGAAAGGAAGGTACAAGGGTATTGAGTGGACTAAGGAATGTGATGATACATTACATAGTATTAAAACGATGTTTGCGGAGCAGCCAATTCTAAGGCTACCTGATCTAGGCAGACCTTTTCTTTTGGCTACGGATGCTTCTGCTTTTGGTATCGGTGCCTGCTTGATGCAGGAGGTAGATACCCATCTACATCCTGTTGTATACGTTAGCAGGAAGCTATCCGAGTCAGAAAAAAATTATGCTACGATTGAGAAGGAATGTTTGGCGATCGTGTGGGCCGTAACAAAGCTGTCTAAGTACCTATCGGGCACACATTTTACCTTACTGACTGACCACTCCCCCTTGGTAGCATTAGAAAATAAAAAACTTCATAATGCTAGGTTGACTAGGTGGGCACTTATCTTACAAGATTACAGGTTTGACATTGTACATATTCCTGGGGCCCAAAATGTTATTGCAGATACTTTATCTAGGAACTGAGGATATTAGGGGCTGGGAGAGGGTCATTTAAAGGTTTACAATTAATGCTGTATTATGTAAATATATGATGTTTTAAGATGATGATACTGTTTGATTACATGTTTGCATTACAATAATTATTGTGTTTTAAATTTGAGATAAGTAGATGATGAATGTTAGTATAAAAATTTTTTTTTGAAGGAAAAGGTACATTTAAGTTAAGATGCATTCGAATTATGACTTAGTGACTGAATATTGTTAGCTTGGTATGTTTGTTTATTCCTATTAGCGCCTGGCTGTCTCAAGTTGTACAAGCTACCATATTGACTCAAGAAGGAAGACAAGATTTGTCTCTGTCTATTGGTGTATATTATGTCCTAGCTAATAACATATTAAGGATATATTATTAGCCTTTATGGGAGGGGGGTATGTTAGGATTGTTACATATAAGTATTTACGTAGATTTAGAGTAGCGTCCCTTTTGTTTACATGTTTCCATTAACCTTTAATCTATAGTCTATTTTAGTATATTCAGATCAAAGAATGTAAATAAATAGTACACACACATTTTGTAGCATAGGAACGATTGGGAGGGAAGTGACATAGAGCGCAGAAAACTTAGATGTTAGGCGGGGTATAAAAGGTGGGGTTAGGATTATTAGGGGGTCCATTCTCTTATAGGCATCCTAGGTTGTGTGATATTACAAGCAATAAAAGTAACGAATTGTGAACGGACTTCGTGTTGGTTTCTTGTCGACCCTGTCCTCAACTCACAACAAGTAGCCCAATGCAAGTGCAGAGTAATATTTATCACAATGTAATAGACCAAGTGAACAATTGATTCTAATGTATCTAAAACTTAGTTGCGTAATATCTGGCCTGCTTTTTACTTTTGCAGAAAAATTGTCACAGGCCGTTGCTAACGTACCGTCTTTGCCCGAGGCAGGGGCGGAACTACAGTGCCGCCAGACCCCGCAACGACCCACGTCATATAGGGGCCCACAGCCGACCATAATAAATTTTTTGTAGTTAAAATTTTTAAAAATTTTCTTGCAGTTTTGACTTGATGGTTTTAATGTAAAAAGATCTGCGGTTGGATTATCTTTATTCTATAGACATCTTCTCATGCTCTTGTAAATTCTTTTTCCCCTTGTTTTTAAACCACTGTGAAAGCCGAGTCCTCTTTCTCCTATAATAAAACTTATCAAAGATAAGCAAACGTTCAAACCACTTTCATGACTTATTTCCCTTCTTTAAATTGTCAATGGGGGTGCTCATACGATCCTTTTAATAGATTTGTACTAAACAAATTAAAAAAACAATTACTTCTCCTTATTATTATTTTTTATAAATTACTTTCTAAAGAATGACATTGTATAAAAAGGAAATGTTTTTAAAATTAATAATATAAATGCGAAAAAATAAAAATAAACATAACACTAGACACCATTACTTATACAAATCTTTCACGGTTTATATACTTTTGACCGACTTTAGGGTGAACCGTTTTATAGCAGAAATATAATAAAACTGATTTTCCAAATAGACCAGGGGTCGGCAACCTGCGGCTCGCGAGCCGCATGCGGCTCTTTTGGTGTCAAGGTGCGGCACTCGAGTTCCATGCACAATGATTAATAATTGTATAATTTCATTTACTAAACTCATAAAAAATATTAAACTGTAAACAAAAAACAACTTTAAAAAGGATTAAAAAACTCATCAGAGAACAGTGAGAATAGGTGAGGTAGAAAGTAAATGGACAGCTGACAGCCGCTTTGGCACATTGGCCCAGCCCCACAG